ATTAGTTCATGGATAAAACCCAGTTTATTAAAAACCTTCATTTTTACAATTTTAAAAACGGAATTAGGACGAAATAAAGAGCAAGAGTCAAATATCGACTAAGAAAAGCGTGAAAGTTATTTTAAGTTATAAAAAAAGCATTTTTAATTTTTCGTTTATGGCGATAAATATTATTTATTAATCTAAATTTGCTGTAATTAAATCTTTAATTTAGTAATTTAATTTAGAGTAAATTTTTTATGCGGAGAAATTTTGAGAAATTTCGAATGGAAATTGTAAGAGGCAGAGTCCATTTACTAAAAAGTCCATTGCCATTAAAGGAATCCACAGAAAAGTATTTCTATGCTCCATGACGGCTCGCCTGTAACTTGTTGTCGAGTGTACCTAAGTGGCTCTTGAATCTAATGCCATGGTAGAAAGTCGGTGAGACTTGAAAGCAGAATTCTATTTAACGAATTTTCCAGTGGATGAACAAAATTTCTATAACTTATTCTCGTAAGGGAAAGATGTTGATAAGAATTTTTATTAAAATTATTAAAAGAATCTTCAGAGGAGTCTTTGAAATTTCAGATTATCTTCATAATTGTTATTTTTATCGTTATTTCCATTTTAATACTTACAAAAGATAAACAAAAAATTTCTTATTTAAAATTAAGAATAGTTTGTGGATTACTATATTAAAAATATTTAAATTTTAAAGATTTTGATATTTATATTTACTCGTCAATTAAATAGATATATACATAAAAATTAAACATATATTTTTAAGCATCAAGATCCCTTTTTATTGTCCAAACTTTAAGTTCGGACGTGATTATTGTTTGAAATATCAAAAATGATTCTTATCTTTACATTATGAATATTCGTCGTAATGAATCTAATTTAAATTGAGTTAAGTATCACATGGATCAAATGTACAAACATGTTTTATACTAGAATATTTCATTCTCGATTCGGTATACTGCCAACAACACTGTACTAAATGTTGCACACACGTAAAACGGAAATTCGGTGGCGCGTATCAATTAATTAATTGCTGGGTCAATTGACCGATCGGCAATATCGAGACTACACGTGCTAGAATAGAATGTTAGGGTCCAATTAGTGATTGGATTCGCGGCTTTCGAGCAAATGTTGACAAAATTTATCGAACAATTGGAACCGACAAATATAGATAATAAAAGAATTGGGGTTTGCGTTGAATTCAATATCGTAAATTGATATCTCGCGTTTTACTCATGACTAAAAAAGTCTTGAATAAAAAAATCTATCTATAGCGAAATGATTAATTGCAACAGCCTAAAAAAATTAATCAAAATTGACGAAATTTATAAATTATTTTAACCAAAAATATTTCAACTTTACAAAATTAAAGAATTCGATTTTCGTAAAACTGTAAAAGGTCTGTATTCATATTTTCAACTTAATACAATTAATTATTTTATGAAGTTTGAGAGATAATAGAAAAAAAACTGCTCTCTCTCGAAACATATCACAGCTTCTTCCATCTATGTTCACGATACAAAGTGACGTTGAGTTGTTCTAGTTTCGAAGTATTGATATACACGTCAATAAGATTATGTCAAGCGGCTGAGATCTTTCTCAAGTAACGCGTTACGAACATCCATAATATCGTGTCGGAGCTTTCGGAAGAGGTGACAAAACTTTTATGAATATCACGATCAAAAATGCAAACGCTAGAAGTACATCCTGTTACATCCTGTTACATCCTCATACATTCTGTTTTCCCAACAATATCCATCAGTTGATCGTGTCAATCGATCACTTGTTATCTAATTTATGTATTCCAGAATTCGAAATACTCGGTGCGTTCTTTTTGAAAGGAAAGAGAGATAGCAATGTCTTAATCCGTTAAATAGAGGTCAAGAAAAATGATTTTCTCTCACGACAGTATAATCTTCCCCTTTGTACAAAGTCTGTCAGGCAAGAAATTAACACGCCAAGAATAATCGATGAATTTTTATCCACTGAGGAAGAGAGATCTTCCTTAATAAAAATTAACATCGATCTCGAATCTTCGATAAATATCTTGGTAATCAAGCGCGGATTTAAAACGTCATTCAAGCGGACGGTTAGTTCGAATTTAAACGCGAAAGATCTCGAAAGTACGCTATATTTCAACATTCTTCGCGAGGAGAGATCGACGAAAGAATTCGCAATCTCCGCAAGTTAATCTTATCCCGAAGCGTTCTTCCTTCGGCAAATCGACGGCGATCAAACGCAGAAGGGACAGATGCTTCCGGTACATCCGCGCGACTTGTTAACATTCATGCCGCTACGTCGATTTATCGATAGCCACCGCTGACAGTTCTTGCGAACGATCGAATGGTTCTGACGTTATCACTTCCGCTTCGCCAGCCTTTGCAGACTCCGGCAGCGCGCGCCACGCAAATGATAACGACGTCATAATATCGATAACGAAAATAACGGCAAGGTCGAAACGGGGATCGGCCAAGCGTGTTTACGAGGGAGGAAGATTCGCTTGAGGTTAATTAGCAATTAAGTAGAAATTAGCCGGGTTCAATTACGACATTTGCTTTCTCAAATCGTATTCTCAGCGCGTGTCAAAAGTGTGTAAGTGTGACTGCATTTCTTTAAATTATCTTTAAAAATTCTCTTTATATATATACGCTATATATATATATATACCAAAATTACACTAACATTTTTTAATCGGCAAAGATGTTTTAATTTTCGAAGATAAATATAAACATGTTTCTTTAAATTTTATTTTACAGCAAAATCTATTTACGAATCTAATTATATCGCGTTCTATTATGTTATATAAAAATACCATTGATATAACGTATAGAAAAATGTACAAAAAAAAAAAAATATACAAAGATAAAAATACGAACAGATTGTAAAAGAATTATAAATAATGACCGTACTGCAAAAGACAACATAATTAATAGAACATACAAGTACTGTGGTACGTCTCGTAATTCGCTAATTAAGCTAGAATTCCCAGACCACAGTCATGTGCGTGTGAGTGTGATTCCAGTTAGGATTTCCGTACAACCGAGATATGTCCGGCTCATGATATGTCTCTGTTTAATGTTTTAGCGAGTAGGACAACGACGGACGAAGCATAAATTACTACGCATTTATGTCTCGCCACGTATACCGGGAGGCAGCGAAGCGAAATCCAATTATGATCTCGAAGGACAAGATGGCTCGCCGTATCCGTCTTCCCTTCGGCATCTCCACTTCATCGAGAGAAGTAGTTGCATCGACAATTACGATTAACTAGCACTAGCCATCTCATAAAATGTAATACATAGCTATAGAGAAAATTAAGATATAGGTATCCCCGTGTATTTTTTTGCGATAAGAAGTTAAACGCGGGTATTTCGCGACAAATTTCAAATTGATTTTTTCTTAATTAAAGATTCGACCGATTGCCATATTAATCGGACAATTTAACTAAATCTGAATCGAAATATCTGTTAAAACAGAAATTTTCTCTCAAATTAAATATTATATAAGTAAGTTTCTCTTACATGTGCTAAATTGTTCCCGTCTGTCTCTCGGATACGGAAACTTAGTTAAATACGATTAGTTAAGCGACGTTGACGCGAGCGTCTTTGAAAGGACTCGTCTCGACTCGCGCAGTGTATTGTAACAACGCTCTTAATAACATGCTCTTATTACGCTCGTCAGAGCGAATGAAGTCTCTGGTCCTTTCACGATCGCGAACTTCCGCGGTCGCGATTGTGCCGAGATGATAAGTTCTCCTCCGAACAAAAAACAAGCCCCGATTTTTTGTAACATTTCCGAATAATCATATTTATCGAATAGCGAACGCGCTTCAATCTAAGTTATAATAATGTTATTCGAAAAGCACGACGGATTTATCGCCGTCTGTGTCGTGACGAGATAATTATTCACGATGCGAAAAAATTCGCCGAATATATTTCCAAGTATACAAATATTATTTAATTCTATACATAAATTTTATGATACGTTATTATTTGTTCAGTCATACATTATTATACTATAATATTATATATAATATTATATTATTTATATCATTATGCTGTATTATTACATATTTTATTATTTTTTGATTATTATATTCCAGAGAATGGAATGATGAAGTGAAATGCAACGCATTTCATATTCGACTAATGATGACATTTAAATAAAGAATATCTATTGTGCTTAATATATAAAACATGCATTAAAGTGTCAATCGTGTTAAACATTGATGCATCGACGGATCATTATAAATGGAACTCTACTACTTTCGTGTTACACATAAAGAGATTATAAGATTAATTGGTATCGCTATGTTCGTATTACATCAAAATTATTCATCCATTAACACTGATTGACCCACTGGTGTATGCATCAAATTTCGTTAATCATCAACGTAACGAACTCCGCGCGTCCTCCGCGAATTTTATCTTAAGATAAAATTCTATGGGAGACGTGACATGAAAAATCGTCCGTACTCCTTGAAAATATTATTTTCAAATAAGATAAGACTAGTAATACTGTAACAGGCTGTCACTATGAGTATATGTGCGAAAATTATTTATTGCTCTCCTTTTCTATTTCGTATATATATTTCGGATATATATTTTCACACACAGAAGTTATTATCTGAAAGTTATTATCAAAAATAATTAGCTTTTTTATTTTTTTATTATTTTACTATTATTTTAGTTTTTCTATATCAAATTTTCCATCTTTTTATTTCTTCTCTTTAGCAATAGCACATGCTTGTCATTCAAGCAATATTAACGAAGCAATAATTTTGACAGTTCAAACAAGCAAACTTTTTAAAAATTATCTAGTAGTTGGAGAATTAATTAAATCGAATTTTCACGCGACGATCACCGGTGGGCCGAAGTGCATCGTGCAAGGGGGACATCCAAAAGGGAGGGCACTCTCGCCGAGGCCAGTCTCCGTAATAAGGAGGCTCGTGGGAAGGAGCATCTCGCGCACACTTTAATAGAGAAAATTGCTCTTACGCGTGTACAATCGAGAAGAACGAGGGGCACGTGGTCGAAGTCTCGAGTACTTTGTCTTCTTTCTGTTTATCTTTTTCTTTATCGCCCACTTCTACCTGTATCTCTCCTCCTTTCCCTATTCTGTACCTCTGGCCCCAGAGAGAAAGCACTTGAGGTAAAAAAACTCGATTTTTCAAAAAAAGGACTTATATGATTTATCTAACCACTTAATAACGAAATATATATTCGATTATATGCCGGAATATTCATTAATCTTTTGCGAAAAAATTTGATATCGATAGATAGACTAATATTCGTACCTTTGTTTGCACTTTTTAACATTATTAATATAACAATGAATTTTTATTGCTTCGTAAATTTTACGAGAGTATTTCGCGAGAACATAATTTTGTCGATTATAACTATAATGCTCGGATATATTTTATTATTTTGTGAAACAGAGAATTAATCGCAACTCGTATTATTGTTATATAGATAGAGCACACGGTGAAATTTATCAAATAAATTAATGGACTTAATCATCATTTTAATACTACACGAGATCTTGCAAATATATGTGGATTATTAAAAATTAATAAATTAGAATATATTTATGAATCAATCGTTTCAGAAAGGAGATACGATTCTAAAATCCTTATATAGAGTAACGTTAATATCATATTGCATATATATATATATATGCAATCTATTACCATCTTATTTTATCGCTGCTCCTACGATGTCCCCTGCGTCAACGGCTGAAATAGATACCTTTCAACAACAACAGTGTGTTTACATTGAGGAGAAAAAAGAACTCATTTTCTTTCTTTTTTTTTTCGAATGTAGCCCTTTCTAAAACGAGTGCTTCATTTACTGAAACTATTTACTTGGAGGCAATTGCGTCAAGTGCTTTTTCTTTGAGATCGAAGAAATTAGATCTCTCCCTTCTCTATCCCCCACGAACCGAGCGTGACCGCGTAGAACGCGAGCCGATGCAGCCGTTACCGCCGGAGCAAACAGGTGTTCCCGCGTGGAATGCGCGACCGCATACTGAACGCCAACACGCGGCGACGGATCCGTCCCTTCCCTTCTTGGGGTGAGACCCCCTTCGGGGCGCGCGCGTCCGCAACCCCGAGAGCGGCGCCACGACGTGAACCTCCCTAAGGTACGATTGCGTGCAGATATTGGTTTGTTAATGTTTAATTAAATAATTAAACATTAATTAATTAATTTAATTTGCGCATTAATTTCGCAGCTATATTATTCGCGGTAGCTTTGTAGAAATCATATATCAAATTATGACAAATTATACGACTTCGAAATAAAATAGTTCTCTTTGTATATGCTATCTCGCTCACATTCAATATACTATATCGAAATTTTTCTTCTTTTTCATTATCTTTTATTAGTAAATACATGTATATATAACTCAATCTATGTGTGCTCTACATTTCCAGCGAGAATGGATCTTATGACGATTGATCGATTTATTTATAGCTATTTATAATATTAATCTGCGAACCGAAAAGAGACATTCTTCGGTATTATTTAACAATCTATACTGTAGATAACGATATACGAAAAGAAATTAATTTATTTCGACGTATCTTGCATAAAAAAATTATATTTCTCATTGTTAACATTATGATTCAATGTGATTACTGTGAGAAATTAAAAAAATATGGCAGCTAAATTAGTTTTTGAATTACAAAACAATTGAAAAAGAACTCTTCGAACAGCCAAATGAATATCATAAAGTACTATATTCTACGCCCAATTTTTCAGGCGGACTTTGTTTCAACAGAATCATAATTCGAATCTTGATTACAAAGATTTATACTATTGAAAATCAAAATCTTCACTTTTTAGGCTATCGGGTTAAAATTTTATTTATAATTGTAAGTATCGTATAATATAAAAAAAAAAAAAAATGAAAAAGTAAAACACCCACAAAATGCACTATCGGAGGACACACACATATAAATAAATTATCTAAAGCGGATTTAAAATATAAAAGACAACCCTTACATTTTCCCCTCCACAACAAAAATATGATTATTTTTAATATTTATTATTCTTGATTCTGTTTTATTTTTATTTTTATATAAGTGTATATAAACAAAAACATTATTTGCGATTACCTGTTTTTAATTTCAAATTGTACAGCCACACGAAGAAAAGAAGATGTAAGAAATTCTTCTAAAGCCTCTTGTGCAAACGCAAAACACACACACATACACACAATTTGCCGTACCTCTGAATTTGGCAAGGAAATGGAACGGTCCATTGAAGGTGTCTTACACGTGCGATATCGATGACGTTGAGAGATGAACAATGTTGCCTTAAGATGTATACGCGCAGACGTACTGTTGAACGTACTCGTTTGGCTCAGATACATATGTATCGAATATGCCACCACATACACATGATCTTTTAATATCATTTATTACGCCCGCTCGTATCTCGACCTGCAAATACACGCTGACGTTTATATATCGTTGCTTTCACACGAATTTTAAGCTTTTACATGACTGCATTCATGCACGAAAGAAAAAACATATATATAATATAATATACAGGGTGTCCCAAAGCACCCTTGACAACGCTCGTGAGCAGGTAGAGCACAGTAAACTGAACAGAAAAGTCATGTAACATTTTTTTCTATAACGCTTAATAAAGGAGTTATTATTGAATAAAATTAACGTCTGGCCAATCAGCGTCGACCTTTAGCCGCGCGCCTGGTAGTGTGCGTGAGCGTTCCGTCGCTACGGCGACGCACACTAACAGACGGGCGGCTCACTGACGTGCGTCCGGCTAAAAGTCGGCGCTGATTGACCAGATTTTATTCAATAATAACTCCTTTATTAAGCGTTATAGAAAAAAATGGTACAGGACTTTTCTGTTCAGTTTACTGTGCTCTACCTGCTCACGAGCGTTGTCAAGGGTGCTTTGGGACACCCTGTATACGCGCGCGATTTCTGCTTTCCCTCTACATCAAAATATTTCGATATTTTTGTATATTGATATATTTAATTATATATATATTTAAAAAAAGATCACGCGCATCTTATAAAATAAACAATTAAATTAAATCCGGAAAATGGATTTTTGATTCACAACTTGTGAATGTAGTATGGACACGCACCAAACGGTGATTTTATCGACAGTGTCGTCCAATTGATTTGGCTACATAATTCCTCTAAAATAAATCCAGATAGCGGTAGTAAACGAGGCTTACAATTAAGGTTATATAATGATAAACGCAAAATGATTTTGTACAAATTATGATAAAATTTAACAGTATCATATTGTCATACTTACGGATATAATTAAAATTGTCAAGCTTTACCGTTATAAAAGAAATAAAGAAATTATATTTCTGCAGGAGTTTAGGGATCTGTCAATTGTCAATGAAACAGCTGTTTGAGCACTTTTTTTAAATGGTGCAATCATAGACGCAGAAAATATATTTCTATATATTTCTATATATTTTTATATATTTCTATGCTATAGGTGCAATATACATGTGTATGGCTGCGTTCCGTTTCATGCATGATGTGCATGACGCATTACTTATCTTTGTTGTTCACCGAATGTTAAACAAGGATAAGTAATGCATTATGCTCTGTCTCTCTCTCTCTCTCTTTAACATTATATATAAATTTTTTAAATTGAAAATATATCATTGATAAGTTTTATAAACCTTTCTACAACAAGCATTTCTTGATAACACAACATATATTGCGCAATAAACGTAATAATAATGTATAATTCTGTACAATATTTTATATGTTTTTATATCTTACGTTATTTCGATATCTCTTATCATATCAATGAAATCTTTATAATCTTTATGATCAATATAATCTTTAGGCATTTACTTGCTATAAATAAAATAATTTTTTTTTTTTATTTGCGATATGTGATACAATTTTGATTATTCGAAAATGTTTGCTACTTATTGAAAATTACATATTTACAGACACATCAGTCTCTAAAAATGACTTTTAACAATAGCTCTTATTTTATGTTTTATGATATATATTAAATATAATCTTATCATATACTTAGAAAGTATGTGATAATTATATGCAATACTGTTTTACAAAATTGTGAAAACTTGATAGTGCATTGTGAGAGAAGAATCCATATCATACTCTGTGATTAGATAAGACTATCAGTGACTGCGAATATATACAGTTTGAGACATAATTCTTTGCAGTACTATTCATTGATTCAAACCAATCCTGTTGTTGTCTACTAGTTGCTGGTTTGCAAAATGGATTGGAACAAAAAACCTCTGGATCCATCTAAATTAAACATTACAACAAGACCATTGCATCAACCTCCTCTTGATGAGTTAATGAATGGTAATTATGAAATACTCTATAGATTTTGTAATGGGAAATTGCTATTAGAAATAATATAATCTTTATTATATTGTGTAACAATAGTTCTAGCAGGAGGATTGACTACAAATTTTGCAGAAGCCACTATCGATATAGCTGATTGCCCTGATCTTGGAGGATGGCCCTACATTTTTTACCGAGATGGTATTAAAAGAAAAAGAATATAAGCAAAAGGATTTCATCTCTGACTTTTATTTCTTGGAGCTAAGAGATTATTCTTCTTCAGGTTTGTGTGGTAGTCCAATTATTTTAGATATTGGTGGACCAGCATATCTTCTACCAACTGCCCAGAAAGACAAATTTTATGATATTAAACTGTTACTACGTCACTTAAATTACAATCATAATGCACTTGTCATTGGTGCTGGAGCTGGACCGTGGCCACATACAGGTTCCAATTGCGAGGTATTATGAATCTCTTATTTAAATTGATAACATCTATTACTTGAAAACTAGCAAAAAACATTACAAAATTTCTATTTCAGCTTATTATGAAAGTAAATATAACGGTAAATAATAAAGTTGAACCAAGAGATAATGGAGTAGGGAATGGAACGCATTATGCATTTGTAAATAAGTCCAATGGAGAATGCAGACTTGAGAGAGTGCTTGCCAATGAGGATGAAACTACTTTTGCATTATTGGCTAATCTATATGTATGCGAAGGCAACCCAGGAAAAGTCATAAGAGTACGTGCTAAAAGGCGTACCGGAAAGCTGGATTTTATATCGTGCATGCAGAAAGCATTGGAGAATCATTATAAAGATAAGCTCGTTGGTAGGTTTACCGCAAATTATTTATGCCATTGTAGTATAGAGTTAAATTATAGCATGAGCACTCAAAAATGGCTGTCAAATATCTATAAACTTAGGCTTGGGCGGTATGTTCGAGATGAAGAACGGGAAAGTAAAGCAGCATGTTATGCCGGAGTTCTCGGACACTCCATTGAATACTGAAACCCAGCTTAACAACTGGTTACATTTCTATGATATGGAAACTCCTTTGATAGCTGTTGGCACATTTGTTAGCGCCGAGACAGTAAGTAAATTTCCGTAACGAAAGAAAACAAAAATATATATACTATATAGGATGTTCGTGTTGTGTATATGTGACTTTAAAATCTTAAATATTTGTGTATGCTTTAAAGAGAGAAAAAAAGTATCATACATATAAAAGCGAAATAATTGATATAAACTTTAAATGCGCTTGAAATAATTATCTGTAAATTCATATTAAATAATTATTTTATACGTATTTTATTTTATTCTGAGATATTTTTTTCAGGATTTAGATCTCAGGGTCCAGCATTTCCATAGTGCCTCTCATGAGAATAAAGTGGGTGGACATTATCATATTGATACGACGCCGGATACTATTGAATATGAAGGCTACTTTAATGTGGCAGCTACGCTTTATCGCATCGATCAACCTCCTAATAAATTGCAATTTGGGAAAGATTAATTCCATGCAGCGAGTTGGATTTTATCCAAATAACTTTACGCGTAAACCAACGCGAAACTGTCTCAATCATACAACATTGCAGAAAAAATATGATATATTTTATTATACAATTTGTACAATTTATTTCTAATACAATTTTTGCAAATACAAATATTTATTTTTCCAATCACGCTAAATCCCATAAGACCATCGGTTTTTAATCGATGATCATATTAGATCAATATACATTATCGATTGCTACTTGGTTAATTAATCAATAGATTGAACGATATTATAATAACAAAGCAGATATGATAATGATATAAGAATAAATTATGATTATTTTTTTAGCTAATATTTTTTATTCTTTTGCATTTTATTAGCTAGTATTTTAATATAAGCAGTCTCTACCAAGTATTTTATATTTTATTAAAATGCACTATTAGCTGTTGTTTATACATAATAAATTGATTGACAAATTAATAAACTATGATAATATAATAATATATACACAGAAGTTTATAAAAATAAAAATTTTGCTATGTATGTGTGTGTGTGTGTGTGTATTAATTGATTTATTTATTTTTAAATCTTTTTTCAGATTAAAAACTATGTAAATTCTTACAAAATAATATCGAAAATAATATTGTGTTACCAATGACATTCGTTCTATTATTTGTTTTGCTATCTTTTCCGTTATGCCTAAAGACAATTTCGCTCTTGCCAGAATTCTTCCTGCTGTTATTGACATTCGATCATACGGTCCGAGAGAAACCATCTTTCTGGTTGTGTTAATTAAAATATTCAGAACTTAAATAGGTTGCAGTTATAAATTATTCTTTTTACGGTGTACATATTTTTATAGTAAGTAGACTATGTTATATGTGATTATTCCTTTAGGGGCGTGCAATTTTTGCACTCTTTCACCGCATTAAAATTTAAAATGATCTGCTATATCGCATTATAATATTATATAATAATTTGCAATTTTCTCGATTTGTCTGTAATTTCATGATTTGCACAAGTTATAGATTATGAGGACCAGAGCCGTCAACCATCGTCCAAAGATATCGCACACAATTAGAACGGTAGACTTGTATATACCAGGACAGAACAAACTCGCAAAAGGTATAAATATATAATACTCGCAACTTTATATTCTCAGATACAATAATATATTTAAAGCGGATATGTAATAATGCAATATATGTAATAATAGTTCTAGAAGATGGATTGAAGAAAAATTTTGCAGATGTTAGCATTGAATGGGTGAATTGTCCAGACTTGACTCAGGAACCATTCAACCTTGCCGCACCAGGTGAGAGATCCATTGAATACTTTGAAATTTTTGCTTTGAAAGCGCATGTATCTATATATTTTTAGGATTATGTGGTCACACGTCACTTGTATATGTCGGTGATTCGGAATATTCGGAATGTGTGGATCCCGAGAATCTAGATCCGAGAATGGCGAAAACATACTACATAAAAGATATTTTAAAACTACTCGGTCGTGACAAATGTAACTCCTTTATTTTCGGTGATGGTATGGTTCAACGACCATCAAATAGGCGTTTAGACGAAGTATATATATATATCATCGTTAATTAATGCAAAATATGATACGTCATTAAAATCATTCCTTTATTTTAGTTTATCTCTATTTTTGCATTTTAATTTAAAAGATTTAATTGAATAATTAATTATTTAATTTTTGTTTTAATTTAGTTTAATTCTTCTAACCATTTTATTACTTTGTCTTTTATTTTACTTTCTATTTCTGTACAGCTTGTTATGAACGCGTCGTTTTGGTCAGCAGACAAAGGGATAACGCGAATCAGAAATAAAAGTTGCGTCATATTTGCAAATCCAGAAACAAAAGAATGTAACTTGGAAATGTTAAGTGGCTTTGAGCCCAAATGCACTATACATGGAACTTTCTTTCTCAGCGAAGGTTTAAGAGCGGATGTTTTGAAAGTGCACGTTAAGAAATATCTCGGCCCATATTCATTTATACAGTCGATGCGGTTTGCACTTCAAGAATATTTTGGAGAACAAGAACTACTTGTCGGTAAGGGACGACACAATATAATGTAATAAATAGCGACAATAAATAGACAAACTGTTTGTGTTTGTTTTTATAGGTATGGCTGGTGTATCCGTGAGTAATGCAAAATACAAGCATGAACGCAAACCAAATTATTCGGAACATTCACGGATTGGTGATACTTCTCATTTATGTAATATAGATATATCTACAGTAATTAGCACGTTTAACAGCAGCCTCTTCAGACATATTCCAGAATTTCCGATTAGAATAGTAATATCAATGTCTGAGCTCTTAAAATTAATTGCGTCATATAGTTTTATACATGAGCTTTATATTTTTCAGGCATTGAATTCTACTGAAAATGCCCATTTTTTATGTCATTTGAATACACCCGAACGCCCATTTCCATATGATGCTACGGTAAACGACATAGAATTTATGGGATACTTTTTCCTTGCAGGACAGCTCTATCGTGTGGTATAACTATGTAATTTTTAAGTATAACATTTAATTGATATTAAATATCGCAATGTTGTGCTCATTGGCACTTGATTATAATTATAATAATGCTGATATGGCTAATGCTTTCTTATGCTTATATTTCTAATACTTTTATATGTGTGCATATTAAATTTATTTTTTAGAGATACTAGATTTTTATTTTATTTATATTATATATATTTTTTATATCTATTTATTTTTTTGTTTTATATCTTATTAGGCAATCTAATTTTCTCTAATTTTAATTATTTCTGATAAATCATTACATTTTTCTATTTATATGGAATATATTATTAATTGTTTATATAGTTGGTTTATGTAATAAACAAATAATTGATATATAAACATTAATAATATAATTATAACAATCATAATTATAATAAAAAATATCTATAATAATTATGATATAATAAAAGAATTATTGCAACTCTGGAATGTTTTTCAATAATATTTTCTTGCTAATGATCTTCTGATGATTCTTATAAAATATCGATAAAAATCGATAAAAAAGACTATTGTATTATAAAATTGCAACCAAAAGTTATAACTTAATTAATAAAAATTTGTGGAAGTAGCAAATGTGTGGTATGCTTTTTTGTTACTATATTATCGACATATATATTATCAATGTATCATTTGACTTTTTTCATAGTAGATAATGGACATATTTATGCTACAGTTCCAGAAAATTCCTTATAGGCGATCATCGTATTCAGCGTATTATAGATGACAATCATCACGGTTTTTCTTTTCTTCGAAAAAATTTTTAATAATTTTACTTATAATGAATAATTTAAAATAAGATTACACAATCTCACACAATAATATTGATTTATAATTGTTGAATAACAACCGCTCGTGTATATTTGTTTATCCTATTTCTTTCCGTTATATCTAAGGAAAATATCATTCTTGCCAGAATCTTTCGTGTCACTGATATTCGCACAATTAAAGGAGAATCATATTTTCGGTTGTATTATTTATCAGAGTTTAAGTGAGCTGCAGTTATATATCGTTTGCTTTGTGACATATTTATGCAGTAAGTATGGATTGCATAATATATATCGGTGGTATATTATTCAGTTTAGATATGTTATACACATACGCTGATGAGATATTTTTATAAGCTACTAAAAATGTCGAATAATTCCTGACGTTATCAAGAGATTATTTTTTATTACTAGAACATTTATAATAGAACCGTTATTAATATTTAATGTCTATGTATATTGAATTATAAATAGATAAATACACGCTTTTGTAAAAAAAGAAATATATATATATAGAAAATATAAATATAAAAAAGAATAAAGATATAGAGAAGAATAAAAATAATATAAGAGAGAGGTTTGTTTTTGATGAAACAATAAAAAAACTTTAAAATCAATTTGAAATTTCTGTTAAATATGAAACAAGCCTAAATATTTAATTTTTATGTTTATTAAAATTTAAAATATTATTATATATATTACAGCAATATTATTATTAATATTTTGTTAAAATAATTTTGTATGCAGTTTCTTCTACTTTGCGATGTATTATGTGTGTGTGTGTGTATGTATGTGTGGTATCATATTATAATATTAAAACATATAATAATTTGCAGTTTTTTCGATTTGCATGTAACTGTTTAGTAACCATCTAATTTGTAAAAGTTGTGCATTATGAATTGGAGTAGCAATGCTTACACAAGCATTCCACATTTATTTCCAATCAGACAGATACAATTGATGATACCTGAACCGAACATACTTGTTAATGGTAAATCTGTAACAATTGTATTCGTAACTTTAAGATACAATCGCATAAAATGCATAACGTAAGTAATTATGTGCTTAATATAAGTAATAACAGTTTTAGAAAATGGATTGAAACAACATTTTATGAACGTTAAGGTCGAATGGGTTAATTGTCTTAATCTGTCTCAGGAACCATTCAATCTTGCCGCACCAGGTAAGAGATCTGTTTAGGTTTTTTAATTTTTTACTCTGAAAACGCCAATATTTTTAGGAATATGTGGTCAAACGACATTTATAGAACTCGGTGATTTTTCATACATGCAATTAAAAGTGGAGAAAAAATACAACATCAAAGACATTTTAAGATATCTCGGTCGTAACTATAGTAATTCTTTCATTTTCGGTAATGGTGTTTCTCGACGTCCATCAAATGGAACTTTAGGCGAAGTATATATTATTGTCAATTCGTGCAAAACAAAATATATGTTATTAAAACCGTTTTTTTATTTTAATTTATAGTTATTTTTTAAAATATAAATTTAATTGAATAATTAATCATTTTACTTTTGCTTTTGTTTTAAATTATTTATCATTTTATTGCTTTATCTTTATGTTTTATTTCACTTTCTATTGCTGTGCAGCTTGTTATGAATGCGTCATTTTCACCTGAAATCGACGGAGTAATGGAAATCAAAAATAGAAGTAGCATTGTATTTCTGAACGTAATAAAACACAAATGTGACTTGGAATTGTTAGCTGATTTTGAGCCCACATGTAATATACAGGGAAGTTTCTTTCTTTGCGATGGTTTAATTGGGCCTGTTTTACAAGTGCGTGTTAGGAAACACCGTTCGACAGTATTTTCTTTTTCAGGTAGCAAACGCACGTCATTTTGATATCTAAGGATTTTATTTTAATATTGAATAATCTTATTTTGAAGTCACAAATCACATTTGCTACCTGGATATTGTTTGATAGGATTTATAGATTCGATGCGGCAAGTACTGCAAGAAACATTTGGGTCTACTGGACAATCTGTTGGTAAGAAACAATATATAATGCAGTATATATTTACTTAAAATGAAAAATACAGAAATGTTTTTTTAATGAGATTTGGATATACATACTGTAAAAAAATTAAAAATGCAAAATATATATTATTTTAGAAACATGTCGTTGCGCACGCGTTTTCAAAGATTAAAACAATATTTTCCGAGTTTAATAAAATTCGTTCAATTTTAAACAAAATTAACAATGTTTTTAAGTGTGCTGAATCTTTTTAACAGAAAACACACACACACACACATATATATATATATACATACATAATTCTATATAAACACAGAAAAACAATTGATATGAAAATTATAATGCATGAAATTAATAAAGATAATAAATAATATTGTTGTTATACAAATAACTATATATTTACGTAACATTTAATATCGAGTTAACTTTTAAAGGCTGTTTATATTAGATATGCAAAATCGTACCTATGAAAATATACTAATTGTTTATTTAAATATATTTTACAGTCGTATCAAAATTAGAAAATAATACTTTTGTATATTTTTTTTTGTTTAAATAAATAAATGTAAATACGCTAACATAATATATAAACAAGATAATTGAAGATAAGTTTAACATTCTAAGTAAACAAACTGTATTTGTTTGTTTTCTTAGTTTTGGGTGGCGAATATATTGTGAGAAATGCGCTATGGAATCATGAAATGATTGGAAATTCTTGGGAACTTTCACCGCTTGACCCAAGTTTTATTTGTAAAGTAGACATGCCTTCGGCAATCATTAGCACATTTAACAGCAGCACCGTAGGACTTCTCCCGTTTTCGCCAGGATCTCCAATAGTAAAATTAATATTAAAACTTTAAAATTAATACATCACACAGTTTCATAAATGAGCTTTTTATATTTTCAGAAATTAAACGGTTATCAATCTACTCACTTCTTATATCATCACAATGCAAGCAGAGGACGGCATTTTTTCTCTGAAGCTTCGCAAGATGGTATAGAATACTTAGGATACTTTTCTCCGGCAGAAAAACTGTATCGTCTTGATGAGCCGCCTACGAAACGCTAGTTGTGATAGATTAATGTTGGATATTATCAAAATGTTATGTTCATTTGCTTTAGATTTTAATTACAACAATATATCTTATATGATTAATATTTTTTTATTTATATTTTTAATGCTTTTATATGTTTATGCACATTAAATTTATTTAATTATGATCTGTTATATATTTTTTTTTTATATCTTGTCTCGATTTTTAATTTTGATTTAATCTAATTTTTTTTATCGTCTCTGACAAATTTTTACACTTTTAAGAAGAATCACTCAATCCGAATCATATTTATTGTTAGATCGTCGAAAAGTCGAACGATAAAGCGTACGAAATATATTTAATCTTAAATATTAGTTTAAGAAATAATTATTGCTCATAAAGAAAGATAGCAACAAAACGATAATTTATTATTTTGGGCTTCTGTCTACGTTTCTTACTGGATTAAATGAAATTACGCGAAATATGCTTTTCAAAATTTATTGTCGCGATATATAGTTACATATTATTTATGAATGTTAATTATTCATTAATGATATTAATAATATTAAATTATTTTCCAATACTTCTTGCAACCGCGTTGACATTATTAAAAGCGATCATATTATTTATATAAATATTAATTTATAATAGTGTTGACGGGCGGGATAAAAGAGAGGCTACTAGATAAGATAATTGTTAAATTTTACGTTCAGCTACAAAAGATTTTTCTATAAATTGCTACTGATCCATATTTTTATAAAAATCTCTTTGTGATATAAAACATGTTTTTATATTACAAACAATTTATTCGAATTTGGGCAAAATTTAACCGCCTTGTAAGGTAAGATTTTATTTATGAAAATAACATTGTAAAATAACCTGTCATCTCTGGTTTATTACTTCCTTATTTATTTGTTTTGCCTTTTTCGTTATGTTTCTTGTAAGCTCGATGTGGATGTTTTCCTTATAAGGACGAACTCGTGATCTACCCAGTGAATTTCATGCATTTATTGAAGTACTCGAGGACGAAGAAGAAGCATTTATCTGAGTATATTTGGACAATAATCAAAGCATAATCAGGTTGTAATTATAAACTATTGGTTTTGCGATTCTGCGCATCTGTTTAGTAAGTGAGTACTACGTTTATTTACATCAATGCATGATATGTTACACATTTAGAACCATCAATTTATTTGCATTTATTGCATTATAATTAAAGTGACAAAATATTCTTATTAATTTAAAAGAAAAAAGTGGTTCGCAATTAAAATAAATTAATCATATACCTTTATTCATACAATATAGTTGCTTAATAAGTTGAATAAAATATTTTTTAAGCAGAAATGCCTTGTATTTTATAAATTTTTATATAAAAACTTTTTATTAAGATACAATTTGAAGCTTAATGGCATACTATTCCACATACCGAGTAAAATTTTAAATCAATCTTTTACTTGAAATAACCATAAACTATCCTCTTATTGCTTATACGCAGACCTTCATTGATTTAATTAAGAATTTTTAATGAGATAAGAATAAAACGTACATAAAAAAAGATATATATAATTCGTTCTTTTGGCTTTTTTATTTGATTCTTTTTTTCAAAAAGACAAGTTTTTCGTGAAACCTTAAAGGCCGCTTAAAGTTTTCAAATTAAAATATATATGTAAATATTAACTGTTTTACAATAACTTTCTAAAATTTAAGCTATTGCATACAAAAATTTATTAATTTTATAATAATTAAAGTTCTATCATAATTGTGTCTTAGGTAATATTATTATTTTTATACCTAAAAATATATAATGTTATACCAAATATACTATTATGTAATTTGCTTATCTCTGAATTGCTACTTCAATTGAACATACCCGTTCAATAATTAACATTCTACTTTGTGCAAGTTGTACGTTATGCAGACAGAAGAGAACTTGATTCCGGTAAATACGTTGATGGGAGAATTGCTTGTACCTGAAGCAACAATTCTTGCTACATGTACATACATATTTTTTTATATTATATAATTTGTAAAAAGCGCACCCACACACACATATACCACAATATATGTATATGTATGTGGATGTGTTCGTGGATCTGATGCTTATCATATCTATTATCCTTTTTTAATAGGTCTTCAATTTGAATTAAATAAATTTTATGTAGAGGCCATAGTCGAATGGGTGGATTGTCCTGATTTGACAAAGCATCCCTTCTATCTTGCTGCGCCAGGTAACACACCTATGCTAACACACCCGCATTTATAATTCTTTTTGTGCAATCAAATTGCAACATTCATTAATTTGCAGGATTATGCGGTAACACGGCGCTTCTAGACGTTGGTAGTCCTTCATATTTATTTCCTTATCCGCAGTTGAAGAAAATTTACGATTTCAAAAGTTTTTTAACTGCCGTTGGTCGCTCCAACAGTGATAACCTCATTATTGGAGCAAGTCTTCATCAATCGTTTACTGGGCAATTAGGCGAGGTAATATTGATGTTTTTGTGCATGCTAGAACATTATTTTATACTCTTAGTGTGTTACCATCTTAATTTTTTATCATAACTTTTATTAATTTATTATTTTGGTATCAATTGTACTTCGCTTTTAAATCAAGCACTTGATTGCGCGCGTTATCTTTATTTTTTATGAATGCTATTACTCAATAGCTCATTATGAATGCGACCTTCTCACCATCAACCGAAGGAATAATGCAAATTGACGATAGAAGCCATTTCATATATCTGGTTGACCCAAACGTGTCCAAAACGTGTAGAAATACAGAATCGGATATATTATATAATTGCAATAATCCTAGATGCAGTATACAGGGCAATTTCTTTATCAGCGAAGGAAAACCGGGACGAGTTCTTAAAGTGAAGGCTAGGGAACGTCGTACACATATGGAATTAACAGAAGTAATACAGTATACGCTTCAAAAGTATTATGGAGACAAATCAACACTTGTCGGTGAGAAAGATTGCAGATCTACGGGTTAAAAAATACATTTATTTAATCAATGATCCTATTGTCACTGTTAAACATATTATTTATAAGCTTATAAAGTGACATAACAATTAATATTGTTTATGCATAACAGATAGATGTTTTCTATGTCTCGTTTCACAGGCTTGGGTGGTATATTTGTAGTGAACAATGGAATAGTGAAAGTTCACGTTATGCCACAATTTTTGGAAACTGACTTAACAAGTAATAAAATGGTTCATGATTGGCTTCAGTACCACGAGATACCGACGCCTTTGGTTGCAGTTGGCACAATCGTCAACAAATCTTCTTTTCCTGTTCTGATTCCAAGTACAGGATTTCAAACAGTAATTATGAATGTATAAGTTTCAAAATTGATGTTGTTAGAGAAGTATTTATTATTCCAATGTTTTTCAGGATTTAGAACTCACTGCAAAACATTTTCACGCCTTTTCCTTAGATGCAGAAAGAGGCGGACATTATTATACAAATATAGAATTTAACAACACTGCAGAATATTTAGGATACTTTTGTCCAGCAAAAATGCTGTATCGTATGGATAAAGGAAATATAAACCCTCTGATATTACCATTTTAGGATTTATTGTATAAGCCTTAGATGTTGCAATGCTCCAATCTTTTGTACTTATTCTAATTATCGCAATGTTATTGATATAATTTCATTATAATTTCTCTAGTCTATATTTGTAATTTTTTAAAAATTTGTTTTATCCCTTATTTAGATATCTTATGTAATTTTCTAACTTTTTTTTTTCCAATGTCTCATCACCTTACAGCTTTATCTCAATCATAATTTACATTCTTTCTTAGTATAAATTAAACTATTTATTGTTATATATATATATCAAATTATTTAAGCGACTATTTAACAAGTACATGATTTCTATAGTAAAACAATTATATGAACATAAAAATATTGTAGTATATCATAAATATATATATATATATAATCATAAAAATAGATATTAAATAATAAATAGCTATTACTAAACATGTTTGTTGTACTGCTTTAATCAGAAAATTTTATTTACATTTTACATAATATAAAGCAAAAAAAAACAAAGAAAAAATTGAGTCTATAGTTACTATCTTATCAAAAAGACTTTTGCTATTCGAGATAAATTCAGTGGTAAAAAATAAAGACTTTTAAATGCTTCAAAATTAAATGTTGCATCAGTTTCCTCTCGTGATGAATTAGTTAATGATAGTCATAAAGCACTATAAACTGTATGCAATGGAAAACTGGCTAGCAATAATATAATCTTTATTGTGTTGCCCAAAAATAATTCTATCAATAATATTTCTTAGACATTTTAATTGCAGTGATAAAAATTTTATAATGATTAATTTATTGTTGCATACGATTCTATAAATAAATTTTAAATTATGGTTATAATATCTGGTAATATATATGAATGCGTCAATATCTCGGGGAAAAATCTCGTTCTCACCAAAATACTTTTACCATGTGTCTATATAAAGAATCTGATAGTGTTGGAAAGATTGTCAAAATTTTAACAGGCTACGATTATAGATCATTTACTTTGTGGCGTATATTATTAATATAAATTCTGTTGTGTACACATCGGTGAGTAATATATTAGACATTTAGGCGAGTCACCCGCTTCTCTCTTTATATCATGTTCTTTTTGCAATATTTTAACAAGATACTCTTCTAAATTATTGAAAGAAAATATTAGACAGTTTATACAAAGTTATTTGTTACTTTTTATATTCTAATAAATTAATACTTATATATACATTATATATTTATCAAAATTTATTAATCAGTTAATTAATAATCTGTAATATAATATCAATAAATACAACAAAATAAACATACATGAAAGTTATAATGTTAAAGAATCAATGTATATTTTTCGTATTTTGGTTAATGATTTTATTTTGATAAAAAAAAATGACTATTTTAAATTTTGTAAAATCATTATTATATTCGCAGAGATAAATTTTAATCTCATCAATCAAAAAAAAATCTTCATACTGTCCATCAAAGTCTCTCTGTCTCTTTCTCATATTGAAGATAAATCATTTGAATTTTTACAAAATTTCATTGTGCGTCATTCCTTATTTACAATATCACAAAATAACTTTGATCTCTTATCATCGATCGACGAATACAATTCTCTGTTGCTTTACTTCGTTATGTCTCTTGAGGAAAATTATATTCTTGCCAGAATATCACATTTGTCAGCAGGAGAGTAGGTGCTCTGTCAGAATTTCAAGGGATCTCTCCTAGTAGTAGTTTACACATTAATGTTTACATTTTGAAAACTTATACATCGCGAAATATTCAATACACCAATCGGTAAACGTGTGCTCTCTTCGCGGCTTTCTTTCATCGGTCCTAAAACGCGATCTCATTACTCTTACCGGCGTATTATGTGACCTCGTCTCACGTGGCTCTCCGAATCTTCCTAGCGTCACAATTAATCCCCAATAATCCGTCGGTCTAAGTTATGCTAATTGCGGACGGACAACGTCGCAGATGTCGTCCGACGATAATGTACACTGTACAACTCTCGTGCTGTGTCAATCATTCGACACGCTTGCCTCTTCTCTTCGACCTTACGTCGTGTCGCGTGTGTTGTATCACAATGAAATTCAGCATAGAGTCCACCGCGTCCTATAACAGCATCCATCCTGTCTATCATTACACCGAGCAATTCGCCAATAATGGCGAGACTTATCAGGAGGGCACTAGGTGGTACGGGGTCTTCCTCGCGTTCCTATCGGGCACCTTCTTCACCATTAGTGCCGCTCTGGTCAAGGCGGTGCGCAATGTGGACCCTATGATATTGTTGGCCATCCGCGCCCTGCTGCAGATCCTAGTGATGGTCGTCGTGGCCTGCAGATCGTCCGGAGAACTCTTCGGCCCTTCCGGACGGAGGATGCTTATACATTTTCAGGTAACGCACGCCCGTACGTCAAGACGATATGGTATAAACCAATATATATATATATTCGTGGCCTGCGGAGAACTCTTCGGCCCTTCCGGACGGAGGATGCTTATACATTTTCAGGTAACGCACGCCCGTACGTCAAGACGATATGGACGATATGGATATATATATATATATA